ATATATATATTACATATACACACAGGCTCCAGAACACAGGTCGTCACAATAGCACAGAATCGCAAACATCCTGATAACTGTGCCATCTCTCTAATCCAAATCTCTGTGTTTGTGCAGTTCTTTGGGCTTCCACAAATACCTTTCTGATCTCAGAGAAAGGCAAATCTGCAGAAATTCGAGAAATCAGAAAGATCGGATATTCAACATCATCTTTGGCCACATATTGAATTTAAGGCTAGCCTGGGCTATACAAGGCCCTATCTCAAGACAAAAAAAGAAAAGCAAACAGTAAGACATGTGGGCTGGCACACTGTCCTCCTTGCCTTCTTCCAGCCTGCAATGGCTTTTGCTCTTGCTTCCTGCTCTCTCTCTCTCTCTCTCTCTCTCTCTCTCTCTCTCTCTCTCTCTCTCTCCCTGTCTCTCTGTTGAAATAGTTTGAGATAAAAGGACATAACACCTTTCTAACTAGACAGAGCACAGGTTACTACAAGCCTAATCTGACATCTTGCTAAAATTTCCCAGACTAAGGAAAGTGAACAGACTAAGAAACAGCTCTTCAATTCAGAAATGCACTGAAGGGTGGCTGGCTGGGACTCTTGGGTTAGGTAATCACGAATCTCTGTCTTATTCAACATTATGGACAGACAAGTTGCAAGCACACTGTGAGACACTCTGCCACCTGCCTTGTCTATCCTCTTCACTGTCCGAGCACCCATCATCCTCACGGTTGTCACTGTCGTGGACATCCGGTGCCTCCTCCTTTTCAAGGCTTAAATTATCTTTTTCTCCTTCGGTGGGTGACTTGGATGTTGCACTCGTCTGATCTTCAGCCTGACCCTCGTCTTCAGCTCTCTCATCTTGTTTTTCCTCATCTACTTCGAAATCTTCTTCGTAGTCTGAAAGAAAAAACTCTGCACAGTGACAATGAGAACAGAACCCTGGGCACTTCGACCATTTCACTCTAATGAGAACTCAGGCTCCATTGTCCTCTCCTGGGTCTTTCTTTGCTTTTTCACACAATTAGGGAACAAGGAGGACTAACAGTAAATGATAAAAGATGGCGATCAGCTACACACAGCACAAAGAGACACGAAACCCCGAACGACGAGGCTAGAAGCTAATAAAGGCTCATTTACAAAGGGATACCACTGCTACAGTGGCCAAAATGGAAAGAGGGGACTTTATATGAAAGAATAAATGAGAAGTAAATTAAAAATGAAAAAAACAGGATTACAATAATGAAAGTTAATCTGGAGACCTAGTGAGGTCATATTTCATATGAAGATTGTTCAAAATATTTGGATATCACTCTAATGAATAGTGAAGTGGAAAAATTCAATTAATCACATCCAAAGGGCCTGAGAGAATAGCATGTTGAGAAACTAATGGCCACTGAGAAGAGATTTAAAGATGACTCTACAGCTGAGCCACAACAGGAGCCTTGTATACTGTTCACTCATACAATGCACAAAATAATTACAACTCCAGAATACAAACTCTAGAAAACAGAACATCGCTGTCACAGTCTCAAATTTACTTCATTCCCTACAGGGAGAGAGCAAATTTGTACCAGGGAAAGCAAATTGTCACATCATATAAACTCCAGCTGTCTCTCGTGGTTATAATTTTTCACCTTTCATATTTAATTGTTTGCTCTTTATTCCCCACCCCAAACTAAAAATCTCAAAGTGACAGCATGCCAAGGATAGACAGCAAGAGGTTCTCATGCAGAACCAATTAAGCAAGTAAGCAATTATCTTCCATCTAAAAGATATAAGAAAATAAAGATTTCCTAATTCTTATGTGTTTCAGTTATTAGATATTCCAGCTTTTCTGGTGGTGAGGCCTCCTGGGTAATGTACTTGAGAACTGCCCACCCTAAGCAATCAAAGAAAGTTAATTCTGAAATAAGTACCCTATGCATAGCAAGTGTTTATGCTGTGAGAACAAAAGTGAGGTAGAAATAATAGCAAAGTGGCACCCAAGACAACATGAGATTTTGCACACCTAAGGAATGTGTCTGTAAAATAAAGTCATAGATGAAATGACAGGTGGGGAATTTAGTTCATGTTTCAACACACAAAGAGCAAATAGAAAGAAAATAAAGAGGTTAATATTTAAATATTGCTGAGCAATTTACTGGGCATGTTTTGTAAGATTTTATTTTTATTTATGTGTGTGTGTGTGTGTGTGTGTGTGTGTGTGTGTGTGTGTGTGTGTGTGCCACACACATGCAGGGGCCCACAGAGGCCAAGAGAGCATTAGGCCTTCTGGAGGTGGAGTTAGGAGGTTGTGAGCCACTGGTTGTGGGTGATGGGAACCAAACCCAGGCTCCCTGGAAGAGCAGCAAGAGCTCTTAGAAGCTGAGCCATCACTCCAGCCACTGGGGCAATTCCATAAGCTTCAATTGAAATTTTAATTAATTTAATAAATTAATTCATTGAGTTAGTAAGTTTTAACTGAAAATTTTCTGTGTGGAAGAGTATAGAACTGAGGAAAAAGAAGGCCTAGCCGTAAGCTAACTCCTGCATCAAGGAGTCTCCAGTCTCTGCTAAGGAAATAGGATTTCAGTACTCAAGAAAGAGGACGCTCATCTTATACAGAGGTCTCAGTGGTTACTTCTGACACGTGAGGAGTTCATTCTGTGGGTTTTTGCTTAGAGCTCATGATTAATTATGTGAAATAATATCGAGGGCAGCTCTCCCTTTCTCCATAGTTTTTAACTTTGTGTGGTTTGACTCACACATGCTCAAATGCAGTCAGAAAATATTACATAGATATTTCCAGAAATTTTTAAAAAATGTGATTTTTCATTAACTTTTACCAGAGAATCCGTGTACCCTCTGGAGGCTGAATTAAAGGCCTTGTGAGTGCTAGGCAAGCTTTGGACCACTGAGCTAGACACCAGCTGTACCCTCACAATGTATTCTCATAATTATTCTATTGTAGGAGATATTGCTATTAATCTTTTGTGCCTAATCTATGAACTACATTTTAGTATGGGAACGTATGTATGTGTGGAAGACGTCATGAGGAGAGTTTAGTTTACCTGCCGAGCACACACACATGCATATTGTTGTGTGTGTGTGTGTGTGTGTGTGTGTGTGTGTGTGTGTGTGTGGCCTGTTCTTGTATGTGGACGTCGGGTGTCCTGCTCTATCACTCTTCACTGCAGTCCCTTCACACTCTCCATCTTATTCCTTTGAGACAGGGTCTCTCACTGAACCTGAACTTAGACTGCTGCTGGCAACACAGACGCCTCCAGGGATCCTCCTGTTCTCACCCTTCCCTAGTGCTGGGTTACAGGTTCAGGCGACTATGCCCAGCCTTTTACTGGGGTTCTGAGAGGTTGAACTCAGGTCCTCATGCTTAAGTAGCAAGTTCCCTTACCCACTGAACCATCTCCCCAGTTCCACACATTTATTATTTTGTAGATATTTGCTGCCAGTCACAAGATAAGCAGGAGCCAGACAGAACATGAGTGTATTATAGTAATTCCATCCATAGTAAAAAAAAAAAAAAAATAGTAGTGAAATATGAGGTTCTGCACATCAGGCAGTCATGTGTCCTATACCCAGATAGGACATTTCTTAGTCATGTGACCTGAGGCAATTTAACGTCTTTAAGCTTCAATGTCTTCATTCACGTCATTCTTAGCACAAAGCTGTGGTGCTCTTAGAAGCGGTGATACTCAGCTCAGCCCATGGGTTCATAGGTCATTAGAAAGAGTGTGGATCAGTAGTAATGGTAGTTGTCACTGTATAGTGGAGGGACTGGTATTGAACAGGACAGACCACATGAAAGTGCTGTCATGTGGGAGCAGCACACATTATTGGAGGCACCCAGTTTAGATCAGAGCAGTCTAGTGGCCACAGTCAGGGCAGTTACAGCATACTTTAAAATGGGCAGAAAACAGAAGGAACATTCAGGGAAAACAGAAACAGCCCTGCATCCTGTTTTTGACAGACTTCTGTGTTTTCCCACAAAACTTACAATTGAACCTTGCCTTAGCTCTGAGCTACAGCTTCCATCACCCTAGGAAAGCTCAACCCTCTATCAGCCTCCAGCCCTCCGTTTTCATAAGAGCACAAGTCAGGCCACCCTTGTGTCACCCACTGCTGCCTTAACTAGGAATGAGCTGGTGGTGTGTGCTGGAACAGTGGTGTGCTGGGACAGTGGTGTGTGCTGGAACAGTGGTGTGTGCTGGGACAGTGGTGTGTGCTGGGATAGTGGTGTGTGCTGGGATAGTGGTGTGTGCTGGAACAGTGGTGTGTGCTGGGACAGTGGTGTGTGCTGGGA